TCACGATATACCTGGGAAATAACAAACAAGGAATTAAAGATAATATCACATAAGTTTACACACAGTGTGTGATACATAATTTAGTGTGCTATATAACTTAATTACGGCTCATTAATTTAATCATATTAAAAGGGACACATAAAGCTCTAACAAAACTCTCTCACATTAATGAAACCTATCCATGATTTACCACCCTATCTATTTGATGTTCATATTATGCTCTTAGCAGGGATCTGCAACTACCGTACTCATACACCGGTGTTCAGTCAACCAGATCCCTCTATTCGCCCACGTGACCCTTTATTCGCCCACGTGACATGTTATCAACCAATCTAACCTCCCTATTCGCCCACGTACTATTCATCGAGGGGAAATATACTTTAAACTGATCACGTGACACTACAATTATTGTAAATAAGATATTTAACACGTAAACTAAAACATATCTTTAACTTGCTGTGACCCAGATTCTCGTTTTCTTTTACCGAAGGAAATATCAGAAAGGTTGCAAAAATACCGTACAAACAAACCCCCGATTGATGGTGATACATGGAAAAAAGTATGGGCAGTTGACTGGAACTTTAATTAAATCATGAATCACAGTGCAGTAGATGATACTTCAACGATTAATAATGTAAAGTTAATATTGAACTGAGCTGCACTGCGGTTTTTTAATCACGTTGTTGGTTTGTCATGGTGAGCACTTAAACTTGACTTATATTAAATTTTCCAACTTATATTAAATTATCGGACTCCCGGAATTTTATTAAGGAAATTATTGGAGCACAACCATACGGTGTTAAGTTGGGGATTTAACGGTAATGATGGATATATTTTGTCAGTATTTTAGCTTTGTTAGAAAAAATTATGACGTAATGGTATTTAATATTAATATCTAAATAACTTAATTTAATGATAATATCATTATTCAACCCATACCAGGATGGACCATGTAATATCATACATTGTGCCGCCTGGTTCGAATCATGTTTACATAGTCGTTAGAAAAGTTTAGCTGACAAAATTGAGTTCTAAAATTTTACATCTATGATACAGGAAATAGTTAAGTCCGAGGATTCAATTGAGTAGGAACTATAATAATTTGTTTGACCCGTGACAGTGGTTAATCTCTGTAACTTTAAGATTGTCTTCCTACCAGTATATTTATAATGACGAAGTACGAAATGTTAGAATTTATTTATTTATTAATTATAGTATCCCGATCTGTTGTTTATTTAATTAAGGAGGATTAACGTCTTAATCATACCTTCCTGGACTCCGAAGAGTCAATATTGAATGAGGTGCATCATCTTATCGTCACAGGGCACAATTTTAATTTTCAGGCGAAAAGTTTTCCAGTGTGCTCCTCAAAATACACAGCAAAGAAATTGGAGAAGATTCAAAGAGAGAAAGAGAATACTTCATACGGTTCTCTGGAATTGGAAAATGGGATATAAAATAGATTAGCACTCGATAGGAGTCTTCACCAAACCACTGTATTAATCTCAATACATGTGTCTGTGAAGTGAGCATAGAGCGCGTAATCCCCTCCCCCTCTCCCAGTAACACTTTTCAGAGATAAGGAATCTTTTGCCACTTTGCAGCAATGGTGCAGTTGTAAATCATAGATCTAGCTGTTTCAATGAGCTCCGTGATCTATGTTTCAGCACAAAGCGTTATAATTGGAGTCCCACCCCCATGATGCTTCTATTATGTTATCTATCTGCGGAACAATAGCTACGACGCTCGCACCTCACCACACCCTCAAGTGCATCTCAGACAAAAGACAATCAATCAGGCAACATCGCACTATATCAGAGTATCAGATTTAAAATAGAGTAAGTTCTAATACCACCCACCACAACAAGTAGCATTAGTCAGTTTGTATTGAGATATTCAGCCAACGCAACTAATTACAGTTCTGAACACTACAAGTGACCGGGATATTAGTTATCTAGTGTTGGCCAGGTTCATATCTTAACGGAGATTACTTTGCGTACTTAGCTTGCTGATATTGATTCAGATAATTTACAGATCCCCTCTTGAACATGTTGGTTATATTCGAGCTTTTCGTCTAGAAGTGAAACAGATTCTTCAGGGTGTGGACTGGATAAGCCTGGTTGAAAAGTTTCCATCCCATAACACAATTATTCTTAATAAATGTATTTAATTGTAGTTGTGATAATACATTTTAAAGTTCCAAATAATAATTCTTAATAACGACTGTTTTACAAGACGTACAAACTATTGCCCACAATGAATATTTAGAATAATTTTGGGCTATTTTGTGGAATTTTGGGGTATTATGTGGGACTCTATTATGATTTATGTGGGATTTCCAAAATCCATTAAGGCATTTCCCAAAATACCCCAAAATACCCCTTGGCTTTCCCCCCTACATAGTGCGCGTCATTACGAGGCATTTCGACACACTATCAATATTTTAGTAGTAATTACTTAGAGTGGAGCATTGATTTCAAAATTTGAAGATGTTACAGAAATGTCACAATGTTTGTATGTTTCCCCTTTTGGCATGTACCACATGAACGAAATTATAAAGAGAACCTGAAGGACTTAATGGTCATGGAAAATTATGTACTTTTAATTGGCTTACCCTCTAAAATCGAATTTAACGAAATTTGAAACTATTATCCTTTTAATGACCACAGTTTACACTTGCTCACAGTATCCATGTTTTAGGATACTTTTCTAGAATTTATATGTCAACTAAAATTAGTAACATTTATCATTCTTATTGCATCATTATCACAATGTCATGAGCCGAGGGCCGTATCAGGACAACAGTAAGCTTTGTAAAGGAGCAGTAAGCTTTGTAAAGGAGCAGTAAGCTTTGTAAAGGAATGTGCACGTACTAATCACATTCCTGTAAAAGCTGGCTCAGGACTCTGGCGACTCCCAGTTTCAGTAGAGTTTGTGCTCCTTACTTCCTTACAGTTTCACAGCTCACATAGCAGTTAGAGCATGCACCTCCACCCTCCACAGTCAAGTGACACGCCTAACAACAAATCACGTGAACTTCCGGACACTATTTCCACTTTTCCCAGCCCTGGACCCTTGTTGACACGTCACACCACCGAGCTGGGTATTCATTAATCCGGGCCAGGTAACAGCGAGATAGATGTGTCAGCAGTAATAAACCTGCCTCACACTGTGTCACTGCTCACTGCTAATTGTAGTTACTTACTACTTACTGCTAACTATCGTCTCGTATCTTCTGTAAACTCTTTATAAGTTAACGTCTATAATCCTTATACTCCAGTTTCACAATCAGAAATAAACTGAGATGTTGACACAGGATCATGGAGTGAGGTTGATATATCAGCTACATAATATTCTCCTGACGGCATACTACATACCGTATAACATACCGTATAACATACTACATACCGTATAACATAATATCCCCGCATATCGCGTCCAAGTGTCACAATGCTCTTAACTGAAGTAGGGAGTGGCTAAATTGTCCAGGAACACCCCCGGAGGTTACCGTAACAAAGGAACAAGGCGTGGCTCGCTACATAGGCACCCCAAATTAAACTCCTGCTTTCCTTACCACTGTTTCCTTAGCACGGAATTGATTTTGGAGCGCTGGCAAATGTCAAAGGAATTTTATAATCGGTATTACAACATTACGTAGCAATATCACCGTTACTCAACCCAACAGTCACGGTTATAGTATGTGTGGTATTTACTGGGAGTCGGGAGCCTAATTTTTAAAATAAGTAACTTTTTATAATTATTGATGGACGTGATCAATACCAAGCTATGCACTGAGGTAGTAGAGTCTGGACGATGGCTGATAACTGTAAGTTATTGCAACATAATTCTGCTACGAGGTATTAGTATTATCAACTACGGTATTATTTTATCAATTGCTAGATACTGCAGCTCTAGATAATGGACGGTTTGCAATGATCGATCATGCAGTTTGGAGGACAATTGATGATGTTATTTCTATCTCGTATGCTAGTTTTGTCCCAGAGTCTTTTTGTTATCTGCAACTGCAGAAAAGCACAATGATTGCTGGTAAGCGTGGCTGGCTGCCAGTTATATACAATATTAAATGTTCCGTAAAAACAATTTATTTCCACCTTTTGATAATATTTTGATTCCATTAAGTCTGAACTGATTTAAAGTGCATAATTTTATTATTTCAACACTTAGTCTCGCTTGAATGACTTAAGAATATGTTTTTTATGGCGAAGCGTGTAATAAATGTTAGAATTTACCTATTTATTTATTCATATCATATAATACACTAGAAACCCGCTAGTCGAAAGCTTTGTTCGAGGAAATTTAAAAAATCATTTATGTTTAAATTTGTCTAATCTCTGATCATCTAGCTCTAAGCTCTGTACTGTAGAAAGTATGGATTTTATTTGACAATGACGACACAGTTGTATGTATTCAGATTCTCTAAACGATACTTTCTACCGCATTGAAAAATATCAATCACAACCAAAATTATAAATAGTGATATCGTGAGCATAAATGTGAGCTAGTTATGACGTATCAAATACAGTATAAAATATCAGTATAAAGCATGGCAACGCGCGTTGCTAATCTGTTCTTTCTCGCGCACGTGCAATCTCTTGATGTTGCTAAGTAACGACGCAGTGAACCTTTGCTAAAATAAAGCCATTATTCTAACGTTAATTTTACCTCACTTTCGACGTTAATTATAAAAAATCTAAAGTCTTAATCAAAATTCTAAGAATGCTATATTCTATTCCTATCCTTTTTAACAACCCAGCTGAAAATTGCGAGGTTCCAACTCCATTTGCGACAACAAATTTGATACAACTTAACCAGGATCTACATGTAAAACGTACGCTGTGGATACAGAACAACTGACAGACAAACCAAGACAAAAACAGAGCGAGTCAAACAACAGAATGTCTGAAAAACACACCAGGAATAACTTACTTGCGATTACAGAAGACAGCGATAGCAATGATAACACACCAGGAATAACTTACTTGCGATTACAGAAGACAGCGATAGCAATGATAACGATGAGGAATACAAGCCCCACCAAACATGCAATGATGATGAGGTACATGTTCATGAAGGGACCATCTGATTGGGTCGTCACATAGAACACCTCAGAGACACTCTCAACGGAGCCGTTACATACTTTGAAGGAGATAATGTAGTCTTCATCTGGATCTAGATCTGAGAAGTGTGGAGTGTTGGGTGTTTGTTTGTTCTGAGAAGAGTGGGTGTTTGTTTGTTCTGGGGTAGGGGGATGTTGGGTGTTTGTTTGTTTTGGGGTGGGGGATGTTGGGTGTTTGTTTGTTCTGGGGTGGGGGATGTTGGGTGTTTGCTTGCTCTGAGAAGAGTGGGTGTTTGTTTGTTCTGGGGTGGGGGATGTTGGGTGTTTGTTTGTTCTGGGGTGGGGGATGTTGGGTGTTTGTTTGTTCTGGGGTGGGGATGTTGGGTGTTTGTTTGTTCTGGGGTGGGGGATGTTGGGTGTTTGTTTGTTCTGGGGTGGGGGATGTTGGGTGTTTGTTTGTTCTGGGGTGGGGGATGTTGGGTGTTTGTTTGTTCTGGGGTGGGGGATGTTGGGTGTTTGTTTGTTCTGGGGTGGGGGATGTTGGGTGTTTGTTTGTTCTGGGGTGGGGGATGTTGGGTGTTTGTTTGTTCTGGGGTGGGGGATGTTGGGAGTTTGTTTGTTCTGGGGTGGGCGGATGTTGGGTGTTTGTTTGTTCTGGGGTGGGGGATGTTGGGTGTTCTGTTTGTTCTGGGGTGGGGGGATGTTGGGTACAATGAAACATTTTAAGTCATCCAGACCATTTTGTAACGTTTTGAATGCTGAATTTTAAAAGGGATTTCTTTTTTTACCGCTTATGTTTTAGAACTTTAGAATATACTGGCTGATCATACAAGATAAAAACTAAACTATCTTATTTTTAGCTCACCTTAATACTTAAACATTAGTTTATCTCAATTAAGCTATGAGTATCACTACTTATCACCTACTGAAACAACAGACAAATTCTGGACTTTTTGACACATTACTTTAAGTTGCAAGGCTCTGCCGCAAGTTAAAGCAGTTAGAGCTGTTAGTGACTAATATTTGACTAACAAATGCGCCGACACTCTCTTTGTCACATGCGGTGGTGTAACAAGGATTGTTACGTATGCGAACATTTCTGTTAGATGATATTCCATACTGAATAGAGAGTACTTGAATGCTTATTAATAACAGCAGCAAAGTAGAAGTAGTAGTTACTCCTCGGGCTAACTTAAATAATGCTCATACATGTTAACTTAAATAATGCTCATGTTAACTTAAATAATGCTCATGTTAACTTAAATAATGCTCATATTAACTTAAATAATACTCATGTTAACTTAAATAATGCTCATGTTAATTTAAATAATGCTCATATTAACTTAAATAATGCTCATGTTAACTTAAATAATGCTCATATTAACTTATTTAAATAATGCTCATATTAACTTAAATAATGCTCAATGCTCATGTTAACTTAAATAATGCTCATGTTAACTTAAATAATGCTCATATTAACTTATTTAAATAATGCTCATATTAACTTAAATAATGCTCATGTTAACTTAAATAATGCCAATATTAACTTAAATAATGCTCATGTTAACTTAAATAATGCTCATATTAACTTAAATAATGCTCATGTTAACTTAAATAATGCTCATATTAACTTAAATCATGCTCATGTTAACTTAAATAATGCTCATATTAACTTAAATAATGCTCATGTTAACTTATTTAAATAATGCTCATGCTAACTTAAATAATGCTCATGCTAACTTAAATAATGCTCATGTTAACTTAAATAATGCTCATATTAACTTATTTAAATAATGCTCATATTAACTTAAATAATGCTCATGCTAACTTAAATAATGCTCATGCTAACTTAAATAATGCTCATATTAACTTATTTAAATAATGCTCATGCTAACTTAAATAATGCTCATGTTAACTTAAATAATGCTCATATTAACTTAAATAATGCTCATGTTAACTTATTTAAATAATGCTCATGCTAACTTAAATAATGCTCATGCTAACTTAAATAATGCTCATATTAACTTAAATAATGCTCATATTAACTTATTTAAATAATGCTCATATTAACTTAAATAATGCTCATGCTAACTTAAATAATGCTCATGCTAACTTAAATAATGCTCATATTAACTTAAATAATGCTCATATTAACTTAAATAATGCTCATGCTAACTTAAATAATGCTCATGTTAACTTAAATAATGCTCATATTATTATCATGTGCTTGATTCGGATCTAGTAACTTTACAAGGATATTAGTTGCAAAGGAAGCTCTTAACCGATTCGAGCATAACATAATATTATAATAACTTTCTTGAATTTGGAGTCGAGCAATATCAGGTACTATTTACCTACGCGTACGTTTGACATTATACTAGGCCGCATTACTTGGTATCCATCAAGATGGTAATATAAGTATCATACTAGTCTGAACTAGTATATTCGCAGAAAACCACAGAAGATAAACAGATATTAAGCTAAACCAGACGAATTATAATATTAATATGATTGCTATAATATCAGTGCAGCTGACACACCTATAAACGTTGCAGACAAAATGCACGTGGAAGTGACAAATGTCTGCTATCAGACTGCAACATATCAAAGAATGCAACTGACAATTATAAATACTATAATATTATGGTATTTTATCATTACTTATCAGTCGACCACATAAAATAATAACCAGTAGTTTTACCTACAATACAAATGATCAAGTGACATGGTTTTACCTGCAATCGAGACCTGGTTAATCTCCATCTCAATCTCCCGTTCTATATCATAAACATTGCCCGTAGTTTTATCCTTCCTAGATATCCGGATCTGATATCTAAGTTCGGGAGCGATCTCCGGAACTTGGTAGATAAGAGAGGTCGGGCTATTGGTCAGCAGGACGATCCCACTTGGTGGGTCCGGGGGTTCTGAGGGAAAATTAGGTTAAATGAGGGTTAATGAGGTTAAATGAGGGTATAAAGTAAGAAAGTTTTTTAGGTATTCACGTTCCAATTTTGTGGAATTGATGATCTTTTTGTTGTTGTTTCAGATTTTATAATTAATCCCAACATTATATAGTTTGTCTAACTCTAAGTTACGATAATTAGGATGTTCCCGATTAAATTGTAAGATAGTTATGAGATATTTGGGCGTTGACCGGACATTCCTTCCCAACTGTCTCATAATTCAGACAGCTGTAATCTCACTCACTTCACCCCATATTCACACAGTGACACAGGTATGACACAGGTGTGACACAGGTATGACACAGGTATGACACAGGTGTGACACAGGTATGACACAGGCATGACACAGGTATGACACAGGTACGACACAGGTATGACACTCCAAACCCCCACAGTCAACACCCACAGTAAACTATATTCGTTCAGCTAATACCGGACTTTCTCCAAAATTACACGAATTAAAGCGGGCTAGCAGCGCAACCCAACCAAAGCCAATCCAAGACCTTACTCAAGCCCGTGTGTTTTGTAACACGCCAATTAATAAATTACTCGTGTACTAAAACCCTGCCAGTGCATTCAGACTTTCAGAGCATGCTTTCGTGTGCATCATGACGAATATTCATACCATGCTAGCCTTAAAATCATCAGAATTCTTCAGGGTCTGTAGTTAAAACCATTACCACTCACTTACACAATATGATAAAGAGCTAATTACTAATTACGCTACTAATTACACTACAACTCCAGCTCTCTCGTCAGATATAGACCAATTCTCAGCTCCCCCATGTAATTATTTCCAATATATAATTGTTGGAACTCGTTGCAACTTAATGAGTATTTCCGCGGCTCAAAGTATAGGCGAGGGAGAATACTGGACGCTGATTGGCTGAGCAGGGGTGAGGGAGGGCTGTGGTTGGTGGGGGTAGGAGTTTGGTATTGTGTAAGTTGTGTAGTACATTGGGGGGAATGTACCTCACACTTCACCGGCTGATATTTTCAAGACTTTACTTTTTATAACTTTTATAACTTTATATATTTTAATACTTTTAAATATGTTTATATTGTTTTTAGCATAATATTATCATGTAACCTTTATCTGTAAATTATACGAAGAGTTACAACTTATATAATATTTTGTAGTGTGAGTTAAGTTTTAACTAACTCTCACTTCAATCTTGAAGTTTATATTTTCAGAACAAAAGATTACTTTTTTATAACCATATTATAAGATAATAAACATGTTTAAATAACTTTTTAAGCATAATATTATCATCGTTGAAGTTTTATCTGATAATCAGCTTAAATCAAAACTGGTGTTAGTTACTGGTTAAAAAGTTCACCATGTTCATTAGATTTACAGGTCAAAAAGCTTCATGGCTTGGTTTCAAAAAGGTTTCATGGCCTTGTTAAAAAGTTACACGGCCCCATGGGCCTTGGTTAAATTTACAGGTTCTTTTGTTACGCACTTTCTGTCTGATCATATTAAATGTATGTAAAATCCGGATTGGAATATTATTTATGAGTAGCACAGCTGAAGTGTTTTCTTGGGTAAATTTCTATTGATCCCGTGTGATGCGATGTAAGGAAAAGGCTCTTATCAGAAAAGGAATTATTCAACGTTTCAATGTGACAACATCGTATTCATGATCTCAAATTATTTGTTATAATATAGTAGTGTTGAAAGTATTAAAAATGTAGCTTACTTGTCAGAAATAATATAGCGGGTAACTAAAGCCTTTGTAAATATAACAAGGGCCATGAAACTTTTAACCAGTAAATCTAATGAACATGTTGACCTTAACTCCTTAAAAACACTATAAACCAGTAACTTGAACCTGTTTTAACTTGAACCCTACACCTTCAGCTCAAGAGAATTTAAGAAAATCCCAACATCTCCTCAGAATTTGTACTCACTGCCTTTAATATTGTCCCGGCTACATTCGCCAATACAATTATCAGAATACAGATGACATATGATCTGAGAGTCTGCTAGTTGAACCTCAATCAGCCCCCCATCATTAGTCTAGAGCTGCAGTAGGTGGTAACATTCACCGTCAGGAGAATGGGGGGGGGGGTGGCAATGGTATTAAATGGAGATAATTTCTATGGAGAAAATGGAAACACCTTTGGGCAATTATCCATTTTATGCCAAAACAATTACGGTCTTAACGATCGCAGCCTGTGTCTGGTAGTAAGCTGATACTGAGGCCGGGTTTTTATCTACTTTTAGAGGTGTAGAGGTGGTTAATGTTGCGAGTCAGTCGACTAAAGAGTTGGTCTTACCAGCCTTGACATTAGTTTCCGGTCATTTCCTGGGCCCATTGTTATCATTACCAAATAATTATCAAGACTTATGACTCACTGGTAACATTTATTGGGACGATAAGGTGCGATAAATTTATACGTAATTTTAGTCATTAAATTATGGCATGCAGTCGCCACAATAATACAATACCATGATAAGGTAACTAGAAATAAAGATATGATTTCACTCAACATTCCAAGGGTCAACATGGACCGCCAAGAAACGATTAAGAATTATTTTTACGGCACCAATTTTAAGGTTGTCTACAAAACTGATTAATTAGTTAATTAGTTAATTAGTTAATTAGTTAATTGCATAACCGGTCGATTACCATAATGAATAAATTAATTAAGAAGAAACTCACCAATACAAGCTTCATCCAAGTTGGAAGCGTTAGCTCTCTGATAGTCTCTCTGACACTCACACTTATAGGTGAAGCCAGGCATGGAGAAGGAGTTAGGGGGACACTTTTGACACGTGTCAATGTTTCCAGGACTTTTCTTGTAGTACCCTGACTCGCACTCTGGAAGACAGAGATAAGGAATTGGTTATTTGAAAATCAAGTTTTTAAAGGTGGCGGTGGGTTTGTACTTTGTAGGTGCTTTGTGAGAGGGGATTTTATGATAAAGATTGATTTTAGACTGAGATTTTGTGTGTAATCGGGTAAAAACTAACAAAGGGCTAATTTGTTACTTTGATAGACGAGCAATTCATTTGTAAAAATTTTTAGGTTTTAAATATTTAACTTAATCAAGATAACAAAATTATGCATATTGAAAATTACTTTACATTTGAAAAATAATCTCATACCAGTCTTTGAGAATTGTAAGTCATATAATTGAGGATGATTTAACTTAGGTTACAATATAATATAATACCATTTTGTACACTCTGGACGGTCTTAGCACTGTAACTTGGAAAGGTAGACATTTTATGATAATGTCATTATAAAATGAGGACATAATTATTATCTTGTCCTTAGTTATCAACGGATTGCAGAATATCTTAATCATATCCTAATCGACCACAGCCATTGCATCGTTTTGTTACTAAACATTACAAACTTCTTTGAAATTCTCCGTAAACACCGCAATCCAACCTTTCTAATCTCATCATACAATCTAACTAAAAATTACCGACATTAACTCTATTTAGGGAGGTCATTTTTACTGCATGATGTTTCATAGAACTACTATTAATTATTCGTGGCATTCCAATTAGGAACAAAAATGTATATTTTTGGCGGCAAACCAAAAAATGAAGCCAAAATAACCGGACCCAACGACATCATAATTCATATTCGATTTGCGGAGTTGAAGTCATCACGTTTATATCTAAAACTATTATCAATATAATATAATATTGATTTCTTCAAAACTAATTACTATCTCCAAATTCCAGATGGTAAACATCTATCCCATCCGTACGTGATGGTATAACTAGATCTAAGTACATACCTTCGCAAACGTTGTTGCTCAGCCAAAAGCCTCGGTCGCAGTAACAACCAGACTTCTGGAAGCTGTCGTACCAGTATCCTGGTACTGCGTTACTATCAGCTGATGTCTTGCAGAGTGTTATAGGGGGTCCTGGAGGTGATTAGCTCATTAGTTAAACAGCTAATTAGAAGATTGGTTATTTCACTTAAATATTGACTTGGTAAGTGAACTTATCAATATGTACAATTATATTCTTTCCTAATTGGATTTGGCTAGTTACATTAGGAATACATATCAAACTAATATCATGTTTTTCTATGGGCAGGATTTCTCTTTTTCTTCGTAGCTGGGGCTGGGATCAAGATGACTACTATAAGATAGAACATTGAAGTCCTGTACTTATGAAGGATTTTTGTCCAGGAATAACTGAATTTACATCCCAGTGCAAGTTACAATACCAAACTTCTCCGTCGTTTTTTGGTCGCAAGTTATCCATTTCATTTAGGATGTAAACCTGAAGATTAACACTTCCGAATAATACCTATTGCCTGGGTAGCGGATAAACATGTCTACGATAATTTAATTGTAGCAGAACAATTAATTCTGTGAGTATTCCTAATTCGTTTCGTGAGAAAAATGTTTTATAAGTTTATATTTCAAAAACATTTTATATTTAGAAAACGTTGTCAATTGATTAAGAGATTAAGTGTAAAAATAACGAAACCATACTAACTAGGAACCTGTCTCAATAGGGTTATCTCAATTACATGACAAAATACCTCTTTTCTAGATAGTTGGCTGATTACTCCATTAAATACCCCACAAATTGCCGCATAACTCCATCTTTTCCCACGCACCAACACTCATATACCCCATAAATATCATAATTATTCTCTGAACTGTCAGCCCAAATAATACGATCTCCAACATTATAACAGGACTCATACTTACAATTAAGAAGAACTACAACACATAAAATACATTTAATTAATTAGTAATTACACCTCCCCTCAACTAGAGCACATAAAATACATAATTAATTAGTAATTACACCTCCCCCTAACTACAGCGACAAATCCCCTCAATGTTACGCACCACCAACATCACGTGACCACTAAAGAGACGTCGCCACGTCACCACTACTACGCACTGCAGTGGTGTTGAAATGTTATGATCCGGTGCTCACACTTTTATTTCTAAAATTACATATCCACTCTATTTTTAATAGTAGCTGCAGGGTGAGGTCGGTGAATTCCCCAGTCGCTAAACTACACATTTTCAATAGACCACCAATTACTTTCTGACTGTTTCTTCTATTGTAATCCATCACTATACCTATAAAATCAGGATAAAACCGGTTTATAATCTCTTGATCTCCTAAGTGAGGTGTTGAAATCCAGTTACGATATTTTACAGGTGCACACTTGGTAGTTTTACTATGGGGCACACGACCCAGGCTGCATTACAGTGATCCGTGTCATATTACAGCCATTCTTTAGGGTATATCAACACTGGACTTTTTAGTCAACCCAAAATATAATCAATGGGTTGGTAGTCAGGTTTTGAGGTAATTTAAGTAACCATGGAAGTAAGCAAAACATGAACGTTTCCCTTTCTTATCACTACCCTTAAAACTGTGGGTAGTTAAAACATAACTAATTATCTTTAGATTCTACTGGAGTTTGACTTTAACTGATTAATTACATGAAGGAAGCCACGTAATACTTTACTTATAGATTTTAACTACATAATGAAAGGGAACTAACCATTAAATCTATGTTTAGAACCATTAAAACCACTGATTCCAACAATTACATCCTTTTACATTTTCATATTAACTACTTAAAAGTTAAAGTAGAACGTTATTCAGTCTATTGGATTATCAAGACTAACGGTCTGCTTACGTTTCCGGAATAATCAAATATTTTTATAAAAAATGTATAAATGTAAAGAAGGACTACGGTCTGTAACACCCATTGATGGCATTTCATTAAGGTAAACACTAAACATCTTTCCTTATTAAATATGATACAAATCTCGTTACAATAAGTAGCTGGGGGGGGGGGGGGGGTCCCCTCGCTACTCAACCGAAAATACCGTTGATTACAAAACGGAAAGTCATAAGAGGCGTCAGAAAATGAAGAGAACATACCCTGTTACGTCCATGAACAAGGAAACTAATGACTTTACCGTGAATCCTAGCATCTTTAGTCTATTATTACTAGTATCTTTCGTCTGTAAGCGGGCAGTATGTGAAACCTGCTAGCGGGTTTTTGTAAGTGGTATATACCGTCATTGCGAAAACGAGCTGTATCTCAAAATATATCATAAACTATGTAACGAAATTATGTGATTATAAAAAGATTTTGCAACAAAATATGCCGTATGTGAATAATTATTGCCGTATATGATTATAATAATATGATTATTGTAATTAGTATAGAGGCACGGCTTGCCCCGATTAAAAATAACGGATAATTAATAGTTTCTGGGGAAGGGGCGGAATTTTCTTTAGGAATTTTTCTTTCGATTATGTGATTATTATTGGACTTTTCCGTCCGGCTAATATGGTATTTTTAGAAAAGAGAGATTGTATTTGTGATTCTAGACCTGCGATAAGGGACGTTAAAGCAATATCAGTAATATTATATTAGAAATAATATATTACAAATTAAAATATAGCCCCTGCTGATTAAAAATTCATGAAATAGACGGGCAAACGAAATCTCTCTAGGTCGGCAAAAGATTTCCAGGTCGGTAAGAATTTACAATCAGTTTAGAGAACTAGCATGGATTGCTTGCGGAGGCATTGGCCGTATCAACAAAGCTGCTAGAATAAAGCAATGATAATTTAAATAAATAATAAACAATTTGTGTGTTTGTTTCCGCGGAATAATGCTCTGCTGTGTTTATATGAAGGAGTATGTTTGTTTATTCTTTTTGTTTATTCTCCAGATAAGAAGTAGCTATAATATCAGCAGGAAAGTACGGGACTGCAGTACCTATGCCGGACTACTCACTACAGAACTGTGCCAGAGGTTTGAATGAAGGAGCATGTTTAGCATTGTTTACATATTTTGTGAAGGTGCAATGCACCTGGTGCATGTTTACTTTTGTGTGAAGTGCAGGCGTGCCGGTACGTGGCTGGAGCTCTCAAGGCCAATATTTGTAAAAATTAGATTGCAATGAAGTTAATCTGTGAAATATTTAATTTTTGGTTTAATAATATTTTGATGTATTGTATTGATGTACTGCATATATTTTGAAGTCATTATGACTATAATTTTCCTCCTTGATCTAATGAATGATAATGTTTTGGATTGGGGACTAGTTTGGATTGGAAACTATCGTCATAGAATCATCCGTAAATACTAAATGAGCTGAACAGTATAACTATCATACTCGGAGTTATTTATCCTGATGCAATGTAAGCAAGACCCTCAATGTTGGAGTGTATAATATTTTGCAAAGCATCTATTTCCAAAACCGAATGTTCATGCCATCTTCTCTGTTTGAAGAGTATTGTAGACTGTATTATATATATTAAATTATATTTCATGTGTATCATGCAAACATGCATCTAAAAATGGTTTACAACTCTCTAAAACCAACACCACAGGTAAGTACACCTAACTTAACCTCCAAACACGTTAAAACATCATCTGCTGCGGAGAAGCTTGTATAATATAATAGCATATTTAATATTATATAATATAATAGCATATTTAATTAATTAATATAATATTATTTAATATTATGATAGTTTTCAATAAAGTATCCAATTAATTCACTACATAGAAAGAGTGTATGAAGCCCAACAAGGCTGTGAACAGTGTTGGTACTGTAAAGGGAGGGGCTCATTTGGTGTCCTCACTTCAGCAGACAGGTGCTCTACTTATCTTATCTTCTCTTATCTTATCTACTATTCTACTATTCTACTACTAATTGTTGTGCAGTACAAGCTGGGATGATAACATGTAGACAGAGTTTAGTTTCAAGAGATAATATGTTACTTACTATCACTCACGGTAGAGATACATTAGATCAGAAACAATTGTGTATATAATAAGGGTCATTGGGTTTGTAACTTGGATTTTCGATTATTAACTGTTGTTTCACAAAACTATCTATATCCAAATAATCTCACATTGTAACTCAGACTTCTCCCATCTCCGAAACATAGTGTGTTCTCCAAACAATAACGAGGGTACAATCATTGAATAGGATCTTACTTCATGGATACCAAATACCAATGTCATTGTACTTTATTTCTACAAGATACACTACAATTGGTGAGCACTGGAAAGTAAATCAGAGCTGTATACAAGTCACGTGACCCTTACTAAACCCCACTAAATTGATCACGTGATCTCTCTTAACCCCATTTTATTGGACGAAGAGAAACTACAACTCAGTGTTTTGTTATGTTAGATATGTCTGATATCTTGTGTGTGTGTGTGTACTTATTACTTAATGAGTCCAGTACTATGTCAGAGGTCGTGTTCCTGGGTTTATAATTAAAGATATCTTTACTGGGAACCTCAGTTTATTAAGTAAACTTTACAGGGTAGTTCTAATAATTAACGCATAATTGCACAGACCTTACCCCTGATTTACTGGTTGCCTTTTGTTTATTCGAGACGAAGTTATGCAATGTAAAGGCCAAATCTATTTCCGTACCAAACTAAAATTAAGTTTTAAAAATTTAATCCTCTATTTGAGAAGTACAACAAATGCACTGAATTCCTGGATATATCTGTATAATTATGGACCACAAATACTTTAGTATCCCTAGTCAATGTGAAAATCAATCTAATAGGTACAACCCTTTCGTTCAAAGAAGAAATTATGTCATGCAAAAAATCTATTTTTACATACCGAACTAAAATAATATTTCATAAGTTTAATAAATTCTAAATTTGAAAAGACCAGCTATTTGGTGTGAATCTAATTTCGTCTAGACTTTATCACGGCCTGTGTAGCTTGTAACTGTGACTGAGTGTACGTTGTGATATTGTGATAGAGCAGATTTGGACTGTGTTCTGGTATTTTGGACTGTGTTCTGGTATTTTGGACTGTGTTCTGGTATTTTGGACTGTGCTCTGGTATTTTGGATTGTGTTCTGGTATTTTCTAGACTAATCTCACACG